TGAAAGAGGGAAGGAAGGAGAGAAGGAATGAAAGAGAGAAAGAGGGAAGGAAGGAAAGAGACAAGGAAGGATAGAACCAACGAGCAAAGGGAGTGAGAAAAGAAACAGGTAGAGAAGGGAGAAAGAAGAAGAGAAAGAAAAAGAGGGAAGGGAGGAAAGAGGGAGGGAAGGTAGGCCCTCCAAGTCCATTCACCCGGCCCTTGAAAGCACACAACAACAACAACAATCCTATCTCATCATCCAAAAGCAGGCCGACACTTTCCATTGAAATACTAATGTTTATATTTGTTAAAATTGTTCTTCATTTGAATTATTGTATTGTTTTAAGCGTTTCTTGCACTACAAATAAGAGATGTGCATTGTCCATAGGAATTCATTCATGTTTCTTTTCAAACTATAATCCGGCCCTCCAACAGTTTGAAGGACTGTGACCTGGCCCTCTGTTTAGAAAGTTTGAGGACCCCTGCCCTACACCTTCTCACTTCTGGACCCCCTCTACAGGTACATCCACTACGTTTTCGACCTGGGCAACGGACCGTCGCTGATGAAGGGGAATTCAGACAAGCCGGTCAACGACAACCAGTGGCACAACGTCATTGTGTCCCGCGACACCAACAATGTGCACACGCTCAAGATTGATTCCCGGACCGTAACACAGCACTCCAATGGCGCCCGCAACCTGGACCTCAAAGGTGAGCTCGGGCACAGGTACACATCCCGAAAGGTAACCCTTCTAGGCTCACATGTGTAGATACAAACATACACATACTAGGCTTGTTTGATTTAAAAAAGAGGAAAGAAAGAAGGGTAGAGAAGCAAAGAAGGAGAGAAAGAGGGAAAGAAGGGAAGGAGAGAAGGAAAGAAAGAAAGAAGGGTAGAGAAGGAAAGGAGAGAAAGAGGGTAAGAAGGAGAGAAGGAAAGAAAGAAGGGTAGAGAAGGAAGGAAGGAGAGAAGGAGGGAGAGGAGAGAGAGAAAGGGGGAAAGAAGGAAAGAAAGAAGGAAAGAAAGAAGGGTAGAGAAGGAAAGA